TAACTAACACACCGGTCTGTTCTGTATATATCAGCCACCATATACCAGTGCCTATGATATAACTCAGCTGACCGCTAAGCCTGTTTACAATAGTGACTGAATAATAACATTTGTCCTACGAAATTCGATTTGTTATGTAATGAATCGTCCATGGTCATTTACCTGCAGGCAAGGCCATTGACAAGGTGTTCGTGAAGTGAAATCGTGAGTGACGCTTGTGTTATAGCGTACACATTCTAAAGGTCACAGAGCCCAAACTGCGGCAGGTAGGTTGTTAGGACACCCAACATCGTTCACAGGGCCCAGGAAAAACAAATCATTAAAAAAAACCCAGCACCTCTCAAAACTGGAGCCTCAAAACTCGTAGGTGGGTAGGTACTTGCTGCGATAACGTAGCTTTCTGACGACGAGAGATTTTTTTTATATATTGCGTCGTCGGGGCAGAGGAGGCCGGGTATTCATATTAGTACTAGGTAGGTACATGTAAAAGTGGCCCGCGAAATGAACAAACACGGTAATAAACCCTACAACGGAAAAGGAAAGCCCTAACGTAGTAAGCAAATGTTTGTAGGAATAAGGTTTTGTTCTGTATTAACAAGGACGGTGAATCTTACCCTCCAAATGAGCAGGTACATGATAACTCGATGCTCGAAACCAAACTCAACGTAAACAGTGGCGATACATACATGTTTGCTGGTATGCTCAAGCATACACTAACATTTTCAAGATTTCTTTGATAAGATATTTTTATTTATTTATTTTTTTATGATTGAAAGGAAAGTAATAAAAAAAAGTCTTGATAATTTTAGTCTGATAAAATAGTGTTGCTATGTTATGTCTATACACATTATATATTTATACTTCGTTTGTGTACCACTGTACACTTTTGTGGTACGCTTCTGCGTTACACTTTTATTGTTCGTTTCTGTCCTATTCTACAGCCAAAGGCGGCCGTGGTACAATTTTAAACAGACATTGGCCTTTTGACATTAAAAGCTTCTGGAATGATCAGCATTCAAAATTTATCACAGTAATATGATATGAAACCAACCCTTACTTTTAGGAATTGTACGGTAGCACTACAGCGCCCATTCATTTAGGTATTCCAAATGATTAAAATAGTCGTTCAATTAATGGTTATTTTATTGTTATAAACCAGCGTCTGTAACGAGTACCAAATAAGTAAAGTTAAAATTGACTTTTCGTAGCTTGTTATGTTTTATTGCGATGACTATTTTTACCAAACAGTTGGGCCTTACTGCATGGTACCGTATTCCTTGGAAAATTAAATCCATGGATGGCGTTGACAATATGTATTGTTTGCGTTCTATGCAGCCAAATTAAGATATGAAGACGGTAAGAGATGGGTCGGACCGTGTTCATAAATGGGACTCTGTTCCGTTTACTTTTAAAGATGTTTACTCAGCAATGAACACGGTCTGAAAAGACACACAAAGTATTGGTAAATTGCACAATAATAATTAGCATGAATTACGTATAGAAACTAATCATAATCATTCCTCTAACGTTCACTTTTCCTTAACATAGCTTTTATTTGTCACCAATTTCTATAGCTCACTTCTTTTCCAAACTTTTTTTTTTACTTCTGTATATTGTTGAACTTAAACATGGGCCCCACGAGAATGGAAGGAGAAGCGGTAAGGTACATGTAATTACAAAACAAAACGCGTACCGGAACATGTAACAAAAATGTATGACAAATGTATATCAATTTAAGTCTCGTTATACAATAGAATTGAACGATCACTGTTTATGTAAAAAACCTTTTTATCGAAACTGTAGCTCCCATGGTAAGATCGTGACCACCTTAAGCCACTGTATCTGTTCGTGACGGTGACAATTGATGCGAGACTCAATTTAAACGAAATGCTATCGCCAGTCAGCGTAAAGTACACATTATGAAACATTTCTCGTGTCCATCTTCGGACACTTTCAGTCTTTCTGTAAGCGAAATAAAAACAGCGATCTGGACATCGCCTCGGGCCCAAGAGATTGTGTATTTCTGATAGTCAATCACGATTTGACCACTATAGGTAAGCGTGGACGAAAGAGCTACTGTCTCCAACAGGTACCCGTTCTGACGTCACTGGTCTGTGACTGGCCTTATTAGACGGGGCACTTTTCAAATCGATCACTTTTTCATAAACGACAGGACGAACTGAACCTTTTTATTTCAAGATCCTACATCGGTATTGGGGTAAGTGTCGACGGTATTTGGTTTTTTCAATTTGTTATTATAGTTTCTATCAAATCCACTGTTTTAACTAATGATCATTGTAAACTTCTACTGCAGCTTAACTAATACACTACTGAGTCCTATTTACTAACACGTCAATGAGTCTCTCTTAAAGGATGTTTTACCTGCAACCTAATGTTTTATTTAGTTCACTAAAATGATTTAAAACTTAGTGCTCCTAAACTTATATATTACTGAGCGCCCACAAACTAATGTTTAACTTAGTTCACTTGAATAATGTATTACTAAGTGCTCCTAAACTAATGGATTAATGAGTGCCAGCAAACTAATGTACTACCGAGTCCAACGTAATTAATATATTACTGACTTACATGTAGTAATGTATTACTATGTCCAACTTAACGAATACATTACTTCGTTTCACTAAACTGATGCATTGCTTAATCTCATTTAAGGATCCCAGTCCCACTGTACTGGGATTTTTCGTATGGGGCCATGTCACTTACAATGTCATCTTTATTATTATTATTTCCATAAAAGTCCCGCAAGTTGTAGTTTTCTATTCAGAAATGAGTTATCAAAGCTATAGTTATGCTCGAAAAAAACAGTATCAAGTGCGTTTAGTTACAGTTTTTACGGTCTTAACGAACTAACTTCGTTACAAATGTATTTATGTGACCTGTATGTATGCTGGACCATACAAACTGATGTAATTAACGTTTTCACTTTGCAAGTAAATACTTATATTTGTGATTTAACGAGTTAAGGTTTTACAGTGAACACAAACTTGATACTATTCTTATGTGACAAATAATATTTTTACCATTTTCACTCTAAATCTGAAAGCACTCTTAAGCTGTGCGTTGAAATGAAGACGTCACTGATGTTTTCCACTTAAAATGTTTCGCAATAATAAAACGACAGGGATTCAATGACGCCTCGATTGACAACGCCCATTAAAGTTGTTTATTAGGAGGCACGGTAGTCTAGTGGTAGGACGCCGGGCTCGTAACCGAAGGGTTGCGGGTTCGAGTCACGGCGCGGCACTGTGTTGTATCTTTGAGCAAGATACTTTACTCCGCTTGTTCCAGTCTACTCAGCTGTAAACGAGTACGTGGTTGGGCAGTGCTAGAATTGTTGAATGTGCTCCCCAGAGAGTTGAGAAATATATTGGCTGGTTGTAAAGGCCCTATAACCACGGATAATAATTTGTGAACCGCTTTCAGACGATATACGAACTAGGTTGAATAAAGCGGTATATAAGAACCTCGAATTATTATTATCAAATATTAATTTTCACTTACAGTGACGGACTATTCAAAGACAGTTTAGTGAGAAAATAAGAAAAGTATTATTTGTCACAGGAGAATAATATTTAGTTTGTTTCCAGTCATTATATTATTATATGAATAGTAATCCGTATCTTTTTGTACGTATTTAATGCATTAATAAGTATGTTCTTATGAAATCATCTTACGCCCCTCTCGCTGAAAATCGGAGATTGAAAAAGAATATGCCTGATTTATCGAAAGAGGTGGCTAATGTGAGAACCTCCCGAGAAATGGAGATTTTCTTTTGTGCCTTCTGCTTGGGGACATAAAAGCGACCAAAACGTCTGCTGCATTGATTGCAAATTTGGGATCCTTTTAATTTCTATCTCCTCTAAATACAGTTTCGTTCCCTAGCGCCTTACACTTGGCAACAACTCGCTTTTGGTGTTGGTTGTTCGCCCAAGCGATGAATGTTAAGTATATAGTCCCCTTACGGAAACACATGGCTTTAGTGGCTGTCATGTGATGCTGTCGTTTTTGTCTGTTAACTTACCAGTAAATATAAGACAAGTAATAACGATCACAATTCAGTTTGTGTGGGGATAAACGTTATCCCAGCAGCCAAGGTCATNGCCAAGGTCATACGAGGACGGGTGCCAAAAAAAACACCATGGATAAGAAAAGAAAGGGAGAAAAGAAAATGTAGAGATCTAATGGAGGCGGCAGATATTTTTTCCCCTCTACAATGCCCACCAAGCAGAACGCACCGAAGAAAACCCTCGATTATGTAGGGGACCTCATTAGTCGCCTCTTACGATAATGCATTGGCATACAGCAGACCTATTTTTTTTCTTATTTCAATTTCTGTATTTCCAAACGCAACAGATAGCATATAGGAGTTATAATATACATGTACATACAAGTAAATATTACAATCCATTTATATAAGATGCAGGAGTGTAATTGATATGCAGAAGTGTAAACAACTAATTCGTATCACTAAACTTTATGTAGTTAGTAGACCATTAGATATTACTCACTGTGTAGTTGTCTATGGGACTATGTATAACGCATATATATAATATACTTTGAGATAGTCCCCATGAAACATATTTCTTTATGATAAGGGCAAATAATTGTTTTTTTTTCCGTTAACCTACCTACCGCTAATGTTTTTGGGCCTAACCTAATTGTTTTTGGTAATTTTCAAGGAGGCACTGTGAAAATAAGGATACTTTTCCTATGTAAACCTTATAAAACGAAAAAATGAATTAATTACCTATACCTTCTTAGCCTAGCTGTTTTTCGTACATGTATATGGAAACAAGAATGATTTTTGTTTGACCTAATTTTATTTGTTTTGTTCTGGCAATTTACAATATTACAATACAAAACGTTCATCACTTAAGAATATTAAACGGCATTGATCACAAATGCTGGACACAAAACTATAAGATATGCACGCACTTTATTATCAGTAAATGTCGTGACAAATTGATACCAGTGCCCGAAAGCGACAAAAAAAAATGTCCGTGCAGCTATCCTAAACCACGTTTAAATCTGATTACAGGAAGCTAATGTGCAAACCATTGGATTATTCCCAGAGTTAAGACTCACCTTCGATATATGGTCAATTGAAGTTACAAAGAACACTACGATTTATCTCGCCAATCCGTACGCCCAGTATTTAGCTTGATAGTCGGTTGTTCTTTCACTAAATATAAGTGCTTTACAGCTCCTTCAAATGTACATACAATGTAGATTGGAAATAAGCCGTTCATATTCAGGGAACAGACCAATGGTTTCCATTAGTACAATATTGTCTTGCCATCCGATTTGAATGCGGTTCGGACAGCGGTCCTTGCGATAATATATTTTGTCTTTTACGAACACTAGCTGGTACCAATTTACCACATTATACCACGGCCTAAAGTATGGTATATACACATCATACATTTTGTTCAGCACCTCTGATCATTAATAAAGAAAACGTGTTATTTCGTTAATGGACTTTGTTTCGAGTAAATAGAATTGACCACCACACGTTTTTGACCAGGTTTTATTATTTTGGCAACTGTACTTCAAATGACCCCAACAAAACTGACCAAGTAGGAAATTGGGTGTGTACATTATTTATGGGCCTATAGGCACGAAGGTACATTTAAATTAGTTCACGTTCTACTGATAACAATAATACCTGCCTCAGGAACTTTCTGATACAAGTTTGCATGAATACAGTTTAAGGCTAGACGTGTGGGCGTATCACAAACACACATACACATTGGCACCATCACACAAGGTCAAGAGAATAGAATTCTATCATAAAACACCTTAGCCTTAGTGTTTGACAGTTATATCAAATTAGTTAATTTAAGGGGATATAATAAGTATACCATCGTACGCATTAACTTTACTACTACAGTGACAAAATAAAAGTTGTAGAAAAATAGAATTATAGCATATCACGCCCACTGCTTGACATTGGCATCTCATTGGTTGATTCACCTTAGCCTGACAGCTGGAAAATGATATCACAGACGTTAAAGAGAACAGAATTATACCAAGTACGTCTTAGCCCTACTTTGCCTGACAGAAACATGACATAAGTTCAAGTGAACAAAATTATACCATAACATGACCAGATGCTTCACAGTGACAATACATAGGTTGATACAGGAGACTAGAATTATACCATAACACGTTTTAGCCTTACTTCTTCACATCACACTGACATCACATAGGCTGAGTCTAAAATATAATTATACAATAACATGTCTTAGCCTTACTGCTTCACGTTGACATCACATAGGTTGAGTCTAAAGAATATAATTATACAATAACATGTTTTTACCTTACTGCTTCACATTGACATCACATAGGTTGAGTCTAAAAATATAATTATACAATGACATGTCTTAGCCTTACTGCTTCACATTGACATCACATAGGTTGAGTCAAGGGAATATAATTATACAATAACGTGTTTTTGCCTTACTGCTTTACATTGACATCACATAAGTTGAGTCAATAGGATATAATTATACAATAACATGTCTTAGCCTTACTGCTTCACATTGACATCACATAGATTGAGTCAAAAGAATATAATTATACAATATCATGTTTTTATCCTTACTGCTTCACATTGACATCACATAGGTTAAGTGTAAAATATAAAATATACAATAACATGTTTTGCCTTACTGCTTTACAATAACATCACATAGGTTAGGTCTAAAATATAATTATACAATAACATGTTTTTGCCTGACTGCTTCACATTGACATCACATAAGTTGAGTCAAAAGAATATGATTTTTCAATTACATGTCTTAACTAGCCTTACTGCTTCACATTGACATCACATTTGTTTATTCAAGGGACTAGAAGTATACCATAACACCCCTTAGCCTTCTTAACAGTAACATCATATAGGTTGAGTCAAGAGAATAGAATAATACCCTAACACCTATTAGCCTTACTTCTTAGGAGTAACATCATATAGGCTCAAGAGAATATAATTTTACAATAACACTTCTTCGCCTTACTGCTTCACATTGGCATTGCATATGTGTATTCAATAGAATGGAATCATACCATAACACGTTCATAACACGCCTTAGCCCTTCAACTTTACAGTGACGGACTATTCAAAGACATTTTTGTTGCATTTCTTTGTTCCATTTCTTACTAGAAGCTTGAAGTAAAAAATATATTCAATATTTATTGATCATATCTCGAAACCTGACCGAAAAAAATATTATGAATTTTTTTTTCAGAAAATTCGTTTTGGATGCAACTTTTTGTTTCAGTAGCATTACTTGAGATTTCAGGTAAATTCACAGGAAATTAATTTTAAATGAATGAAAAATAGATAAAATGCTGCTGACCTTTAATTCATATACCGTATGCTTAACACATATACCTGTTGACAATGCTATATAGGTCCTATACAATTTTATGCTACAGATGTATACAATAACACACCGTCTTCTTTTAAACGTCTGAAAGACCCATAAGAAAACGTTTATTTTGTTTTGTTTTGAGTTTCACGTCCTCTCATTTGAAGACTGATGTATAGGGAGACATAAACAAAAAAACATACGNTATAGGTAAGAGAGAAAAAGGATAGTTACATATACTTTACCACATATATTTAAGTTTGACTATACCGGTAGTATTCATGTCCTGTATACCAACCAATAGAGTAACGATATACCTATGTTTGTATTGCAGACATGTGGCGACTGACTGTATTCTGCCTCGGGGTTGGTCTGTTGGCCCAGGCCTACTCTGTTGAATCCGAGGGATCTCACAAGGAACTCCTCCAGAGATTACTCCGGGTGCTTACTGAGAAGGCTAGTGAGGACGCACTAAGAGAAATCACGCATCAGTTTGAGGAACGTGGGAGTGGAAATAATAAAGGCGGCGATAACGATGACAACGCTGAGAATGACGATGACGCGGATCTCGGACGTTTACTGGAAACGGTGCAGAGAATATGTACTGAGGCAGATTTCGACGGTGTTCCCGTATCGGTAAAGCAAACACTGGAGAATATTTGTTCCGTCCTCGACGATGAGGACAATGAAGGTGAGGATGAAGACTCGGATTCATCAGAAGACGAAGAAGACTCGGAATCATCAGAAGACGGAAACGAAACAAGGGGTAAACCAAAACCATCTAAACTTAAGAAGACAGTTAAAAAAGCTTTAAGCTCCCTTGATAAATCATGCAAGGCTATTCAGAAATCGGACGCTGGCACGGGACCGGAACGCGACATGTTAGAAGAAATTTGTGAAGCATTAAATGACGGTAAAGGTAAAAGTAACATAGACGAAAGACGTAAAGATCCCAATGCAAAGACACTCAAGTCATTTAAGAAAACATTATCATCCCTCGAAGATTTGTGTGAAAACGACGCTATCGACACTCTAAAGATGAAGTTTCGCGGAAGACCAGTTGGTGAGATCTTTGATATTGTCTGCAAGATAATATCAGGCGGACCTAGTCCAACTGAAGAGCCGAAACCAACTGGTGGACCAAAACCAACTGGAGAACCAAAACCAACCGACGAGCAAATAAAGCGCGCATTAGGCATGTTGAAGAAAGCATGTAAAGCTATAGAAAAAACAAACGACGGACAAGGTCCCGCTCGTGTCGTCATTGAGGAAATTTGTCAGTCAGTGACAGGAAAGGGAGATGACGACAAAAAAACGAACAGTTCAGAACAAAGGCGCGGGAAAAAACCTGGTGACAATGCACGCTTATTTCAGGATACGCTGGCAGCTCTGACTGATATATGTGACAAAAGCGTCCCCGCCACAAAGCGCAATAAAATGTGGGGCAAAACCTTTGATGATCTTTTTGATACAATCTGCGACATTATAGATGGTGATGGCGTTTATCCAACCGGAGGACCAAAACCAACTGGAGGACCAAAGCCAACTGGAGGACCAAAACCAACTGGAGGACCTAAGCCAACTGGAGAACCCAAACGAAGAGGACAAGTTGGCGTTATGGAAAAAAGACGGAAACCCAAACCAACGGATATCAAAAAGCAAGTAAAACACGCTATAGGCTTGTTAAGCAGAGCGTGTAGGGTCGTTGAGACATCGAGCGTGGGAATTGGACCCGCCCGCGTAGTTATCGAAGAAATTTGCATAACATTAAATTACGATAACGACGAAGAAGAAAAAGAAGAAGGCGATGAAACAGAAAAACGTGGAGGTCCCCTTGGCAAATGGCGATTATTTGAAGATGCAATATCAGCCCTAAGAGACGTGTGTGAAAACGATGCTATCGACAACCTTGATATGCAGATAGGCGGAAGACCAATCGGTGATATCTTAGACGTAGTCTGCGGTATAATTGATAGTGAAGACGAAGGCGGACCGAGTCCAACTGGAGGACCCAGACCAACTGGAGGACCAAGACCAAGTAGAGGACTCCAACCAACTGGAGGACCCAGACCAACTGGAGGACCAAGACCAAGTAGAGGACCCCGACCAACTGGAGGACCCAGACCAACTGGAGGACCAAGACCAAGTAGAGGACCCCGCCCAACTGGAGGACCAAGACCAACCGGAGGACCCAGACCAACTGGTAGACCAAGACCAACTGGAGGACCCAGACCGACTGGAAGACCAATAGACAGAAAAGTCAAATTCTATATCAGTGTGTTGAAGAAAATTAATCAAGCGTGTTCTGATAATGATGACACCTCAATAGATGCCCTTCTCCAGGCTATCTGCGAAGTTCTTAACTGATGCATGTCGCCAAGACATTTTTATATATAACAGGCACTTGAATATAATATAACACTGGGCATATTATAAAAGGCACCTTTTATCGTAAGCGAACTTAAAATTTAATCACGGTAAAAAGTTGATATGTTTAAATGTATAATGAATCTTATAAGGTATCTCGTGTAAAATTTTATTAAATACAGTAACAACACTGCTACTGAAATAAATATTAAGCTGGCTTGCTATACACGTTTCCTTTTCTGGGTTATGCTACAACGATATGGAATCAGTTTCCAAACCAGCACAATATTTTCGAAATAATTTTGTCTGATTTTGTTCTGAAATATCCAGGTATGATAGATTTTGTGTTCAAATTATCTTCGGTTTGCGTTTTTTTGCGATGAAAAGTGAAGGATGAATTTGAAGATTGAATAGAGAATGATGTCCAAAAAAGAAAGACATGAAAAATGTAAGGGAGGTCTGTACACAATATAATTCGACACAAATCTCCAGAAATAAAACATATTTTGTATGTATAAAAAGTCTTCTTGTCAATATATGTGTACAAACGCAAACGTGTCCACACTACATGAATCTCCTACGTCATTGGTTCCTAAGGTACTCTAAGGTCGTTAGAGTTATCTCTCTTCGTATTGTCAAACGCACTATATGCTGCATTTTCATGGACGCACAGAATGGAGGGAGAACATGATATATACTGACAGGTAGAGGGACGACCAGGTAAAGGGCAACCGACCCATCCTTTATGTACCAAGGACTTTTCCTGAGTATCAATACGACCCATGACAAGTGTTTGATTGCACATTCGTGACGATAATATGTATAACGCACCAAATTTCGATTGGGATCTTATCTTTCCCCATCCATCTTTACCTGTGTTTCTTTTCGTGATCTTTATATATATATTAAGGCCTCCCGTGGCGCCATCTCACTTTTGGCTAGATTACATAACGGTCGCCCCTGTGAGAGTATCCCCACCCCATGTATTTAGGGAAAGCGCAACTTGCGTCTGGTGTTATAATGTGAAGGGATACAATACTGTGCTGTGTAGGAGGCTTCGACAGGGCATTACATTAAGGTAGCGCTCTAATGTCGTCAGATTCGCGCTATCGCAAGGGGCTAGGCACATATACCAACTTATTGCCTCCAGCACATTCGAATTCAAGACACACATACCTCCATTTGTTATAGTGATCAAAGTGCAGACTTTTGTTTATGTTAAAGCATGAAACGAACTATATGAGCACAATCTATTACATTGCTTATTTTTAACCGGTAAAGGGAAACTACTCTGCATTGACAATCGTTGCTGAAATAACCGTTGAACAGTTCAGTTTAAAATGGGTTGTTCTCGGAATGTAGAAATACGCTTATTTTTTTGTAACATATTCTATATCAGTGTAAAGATATAACCCATCTTGACTAAGTTTTGACACAAAAACACATACACACAGGTAAAAGTGTACCATGGTACACAAAGATATGAAAATTCAAATAATTTTGTACCATGCGCGGTAAATAAAGATTATAAACAACTTTACCAAAAAACTCTTTACTTTCACATGTATATGTACCAACAGCCGATATTAGCCGGCATAGTTATTTGAATTTTCATATCTTTCTGTACCGTGGTACACTTTTGCCCGGTACAAAGAGATATGAAAGCTTCTCTCCTTTTTGTACCGCGATACACTTTTTCCATTTCTTTTTGTACCACCTACAGTACAAATAGATATGAAAAAATGGTACCACTAGAGCATCGGAATGTTGTTATCGGACACTATGACCAGAACTGACCCCGAATAGTAAAGCCCTAATTATAACGTCAAAACAAGTCGTAAAGTTCATTAATCACATCTGATGAAAACAGAGTTAGTTGCAATTGTGTAAGTATTGGGGTATTGACAGGGTCTCCAAAAGGGATACAGGACTTCTGTATATTAATGTCACATTTCAAAACAGACAAGCCAGTTACAAAGGGTTGGAGGACTATGACAAAAAGCCGCAGGCAGTGGTCCTAAGAATAACTAAGCTCAGACAATTTCGATATCAAGCGTTGAAAATGTGACTGTGTTAAAATGATAGCGCCACAAATGATATTCAAGTCGATTTTAGTTATCAGCGATGACGCAGCGTCTATCGTCCGTCCGTCATTCAGTTTGACTGAACGACCTCTTTACGCCCATTCTCACTTATCATGCGCCTTTAACCGAAAATCATTTCGCATGATCCTTCCACCACCTATAATATACCCTAAACGTCAAAACTATAGTTCACTGTTTCAACATAGATATGTTTTCCAAAAACAAACAATTTTTTTAATGAGAACGTAGGGTACATTTTTCATAAAGTGTACATGAGCATGCCTCTATACTCGAATAATCGTGTCGCGTCACTCTTTTTTCTTATACAAAACTTTAAGTTTTGCTTTTTTTCAGTTTATTTAAAATTCATATGTTTTGCTTCAAAGTTTAAGTTTACTTATGTCTAAACAAAACTTAATTAATTCAACATCAATAATTTAAGCTAAAACATGATTTTTTTTTGGCGATTATCTACTGTCGCAAAAAGTCTTACCGGAATTCAAGCAATTATTATCGGTGAATACAAGTTTAGAATATCTAGGTATATTGACAAAATGTTCCGTAAGCATATATCAAGTAGCCTGCATGAAACTCCATATTCGTGGTTTGTCTGTTAAAATGTCAACAGATACGTTGTTTTTGTTAATGGAGGTGTGAAGGATTTTTGTTGTTGTCAAAATCCAGTTTGACAATACACACAAAACCGACATTCAAACTCACAGGGACATGATATTTCAACCATTCAAACAAGGGACACGGTAAGCAGCCCTTCTCACACACACACGGTCGTGACAACTACAATATAGATGAAAAAAACCCACCAAACCAAATACGCTTCGGCCCGGGAATGCGAAAACCAGACTCTTCACAGATCTGGCACGAAAAAATTGTATCTCCAAACTTAAAGGTATATGAAAACCAAACATGGTTGACCCGCCGAACACGAAATGGTTTTATGAATTCTCACATAATCGAGTGGTACCTTGTTCTCGAGCTTTACACTAAGATCAAACTCCATATTTTGAAGCTAAACACATTTTAATGTCCAGATTATAAACTTTTAACTACAATGTACTACACTCAGTAGATAAATGGACGTAGTAGATGAAATCGTCAAGACAATGGCCACTTTGGTATAAAGGCAGAGAAAACACATTTGTTTGTGTTGTGACAACGAAATCAAAACATCACAGTCCAATAGAATTTAACGATCACTGTTGATGTAAAATATTTACATATCGAATATGTAGCCCCAATGGTAAGATCTTGACCACTTCAAGCCCACTGGATCTGTTCGTGACGGTGCAAATTTATGCGAGACTCAATTTGAACGAAATGCTATCGCCAGTCAGCGTAAAATACATATTATGTAACATTTCTCGTGTCCACCTTCGGACAATAAGTTTTTCTTTAAGCGAAATAAAAACAGCGATCGGGGCCAAGGACTTGTGAATCACGATTTGACCACTATGGGTAAGCGTGGACGAAAGAGCTACTGTCTCCAACAGGTACCCGTTCTGACGTCACTGGTCTGTGACCGGCCTTATTAGACGAGTCACTTTTCAAATCGATCACTTTTTCATAAACGACAGGACGAACTGAACCTTTTTATTTCAAGAGACTACATCGGTATTGGGGTAAGTGTCGACGGCATCTGGTCTTTTTTATTTTCTTTAACAGTTTCTATTAAATCCACTGTTTTAACTAATAAACATTGAATAACTACTGCAGCTTAACTAATGCACTACTAAGTCCTATTTACTAAAACATTAATAACTCTCTTTTAACTAATGTTTTACCGAGTTCACGTGAATAATGTGTATTTGTGCTCCTAAACAAATGTATTACTGAATATCCTTAACCTAATGTTTTGACTGAGTTAACTAAACTAATGAATTACTTAGTGCTCCTAAACGAATGTATTAATGAGTCCCCGCAACCTAATGTTAAACTAAGTTCACTTGAATAATGTAAAACTTAGTGCTCCTAAACTTATGTATTACTGTCAGCGCCCACAAACTAATGTTTAACTTAGTTCACTTGACTAATGTATTACTTTGTGCTCACAAACTAATGTTTTACTTAGTTCACCTGACTAATGTATTACTGAGTGCTCACAAACTAATGTTTAACTTAGTTCACTTGACTAATGTATTACTGAGTGCTCACAAACTAAAGTTTTACTTAGTTCACTTGACTAATGTATTACTGAGTGCTCCTAAACTATTGTATTACTGAGCGCCCACAAACTAATGTTTAACTTAGTTCACTTGACTCATGTATTACTTTGTGCTCACAAACTAATGTTTAACTTAGTTCACTTGACTAATGTATTACTTTGAGCTCAAAAACTAATGTTTTACTTAGTTCACTTGACGAATGTATTACTTTGTGCTGACAAACTAATGTTTAACGTAGTTCACTTGACTAAAGTATTACTGAGTGCTCACAAAATAAAGTTTTACTTAGTTCACCTGACTAATGTATTACTTTGTGCTCAAAAACTTATGTTTTACTTAGTTCCCTTGACTAATGTATTTCTTTGTGCTCAAAAACTTATGTTTAACTTATTTCACTTAGCTAATGAATTACTGTGGGCACAAAAACTAATGTTTTACTTAGTTCACTTGACTAATGTATTACTTTGTGCTCAAAAACTTATGTTTTACTTAGTTCACTTGACTAATGTATTACTGAGTGCCAGCAAACTAATGTACTACCAAGTCCAACGTAATTCATATATCAATGACTTACATGTAGTAATGTATTACTCTGTCCAACTTAACGAATACATTACTTCGTTTCACTAAACTGATTCATTGCTTAATCTCATTTAAGGATCCCAGTCCTACTGTACAGTGATTTTACGTATGAGGCCATGTCACTTACATTGACCAGGTAGCTCAATGTCATCTTTATTATTATTATTTTCATAAAAGTCCCGCAAGGTGAAGTTTTCCTACAAAAATGAGCTATCAAAGCTATAGTTATGCCCGAAAAAACAGTTTCCAATGTGTCCTGTATGTATGCTGTGCCATACAATCTCATGTAATTAACGTTTTCACTTTGCGAGTAAATACTTATATTGGTGATTTTACTATTTAAGGTTTTACAGTGAACACAAACTTGATATTATTCTAATGTGACAAATAATATTTTTAACATTTTCACTCTCAATCTGAAAGCACTCTTAAGCGTAAAAATAACAATGTTTACGTGACGAGGGGTTGTAGAGGTGGTTGTGTAACTTTTCTTGAACAAACAATGTAGATGGGAAATAAGCCGTTCATATTCAGGGAACAAACCAATGGTTTTCATTAGTACAATATCGTCTTGCCATCCGATTTGAATGCGGTTTGGACAGCGGTACTTACGATAATATATATTGTCTTTTACGATCACTGGTACAAATTTTCCACATTATACACATAATATATTTTGTTCAGCACCTGTGATCATTAATAAAAAAACCGTGTTATTTTGTTAATGGGCTTTGTTTCGAGTAAATAGAATTGACCACCACACGTTTCTGACCAGGTTGTATTATTTTGGCAACTGTACTTCAAACGACCCCAGCAGAACTGACCAAGTAGAAAATTGGGAGTGTACATTATTTATGGGCCTATAGGTACGAAGGTACATTTAAATTAGTTCACATTCCACTGAGAAAATAATACCTGCCTCAGGAAAATTTCTGATACAAGTTCGCATGACTATAGACGTGTGGGCGTATCACAAACACACATACACATTGACACCATCACACAAGGTCAAAAGAATAGAATTCTATCATAAAACACCTTAGCCTTAGTTTTTGACAGTAATATGAAATTAGTTAATTTAAGGGGATATAATAATTATACCATCGTACGCCTTACCTTACTACTACAGCGACATCATAAAGGTTGTAGAAAAATAGAATTATAGCATATCACGCCCACTGCTTGACAGCGACATCACATTGGTTCAAAGACAGTCCACAAGTTAAAGAGAAAAGAATTATACCATGTATGTCTCAGGCCTACTTTGCTAGATAGGTCCCACACAATTTTATGCTACAGATTTATACAATAACACACCGTCTTCTTTTAAACGACCCATAAAAACGTTTATTTTGTTTTGTTTTGAGTTTCTCGTCCTCTCATTTGAAGACTGATGTATAGGGAGACACAAACAAAAAAACATACGTAGGAGAGAAAAAGGATAGTTACATATACTTTACCACATATATTTAAGTTTGACTATACCGGTAGTAATCATATCCTGTATACCAACCAATAGAGTAACGATATACCTATGTTTGTATTGCAGACATGTGGCGGCTGGCTGTATTCTGCCTCGGGGTTGGTCTGTTGGCCCAGGCCTACTCTGTTGAATCCGAGGGATCTGACAAGGAACTCCTCCAGAGATTACTCCGGGTGCTTACTGAGAAGGCTAGTGAGGACGCACTCAGAGAAATCACGCATCAGTTTGAGGAACGTGGCAGTGGAAATAACAAAGGCGGCGATAACGATGACAACGCTGAGAATGACGATGACGCAGATCTCGTACGTTTACTGGAAACAGTGCAGAGAATATGTACTGAGGCTGATTTCGATGGTGTTCCCGTATCGGTAAAACAAACACTGGAGGATATTTGTTCCGTCCTCGACGATGAGGACAATGAGGGTGAGGATGAAGAGACGAAATCACCAAAAGACGGAATGGAAACAAGGGGTAAAACAAACCCATCTAAACCAAAACCAACTGGAGGACCCAAGCCAACTGGAGGACCAAAACCAACTGGAGGACCCAAGCCAACTGAAGGACCAAAACCAACTGGAGGGCCGAAGCCATCTGGAGGACCTAAGCCATCTGGAGAATCCAAACGAAGAGGAAAAGTTGGCGGTATGGAAAAAAGTCCAACTGGAGGACCAAGACCAACTGGAGGACCAAGACCAAGTAGAGGCCCAAGACCAACTGGAGGACCAAGACCAAGTAGAGGACCAAGACCAGCTAGAGGACCCAGACCGACGGGAGGACCAAGACCAAGTAGAGGCCCAAAACCAACCGGAGGACCAAGACCAAGTAGAGGCCCAAGACCGACGGGAGGACCAAGACCAAGTAGAGGCCCAAGACCAACCGGAGGACCAAAACCAAGTAGAGGACCCAGACCAGCTAGAGGACCAAGACCGACGGGAGGACCAAGACCAACTGGAGGACCCCGACCAACTGGTAGACCAAGACCAACTGGAGGACCCAGACCGACTGGAAGACCAATAGGCAGAAAAGTCAAATTCTATATCAGTGTGTTGAAGAAAATTAATCAAGCGTGTTCTGAAAATGATGACACCTCAATAGACGCCCTTCTCCAGGCTATCTGCGAAGTTCTAAACTGATGCATGTCGCCAAGACATTTTTATAAATAACAGGCACTTCAATATAATATAACACTAGACATATTATAAAAGGTACTTATTATCGCAAGCCAACTTAACATTTAATCACGGAAAAAGTTGATATGTTTAAATGTATGATGAATCTTATAAGGTATCTTGTGTAAAAAAAAAATGAAATACAGTATGAACATTTCTGCTGAAATAAATATTACGCTGGCTTGCCATACAGATTTTGTTTTCTGGGTTATGCTACAACGATATGGAATCAGTTTCCAAACCAGCACAATATTTTCGAAATAATTTTGTCTGATTTTGTAGGTATGATAGATTTTGTGATTTTTTTGGCGATAAATAGTGAAGGATGAGTTTGAAGATTGAATAGAGAATGATGTCCAAAAAAGAAAGAAATTAAAGATGCAAGGAAAGTCTGTATACAATATAATTCGAGACAAATCTCCAGAATAAAAACATGTTTTGCATTGTACAAGCTCAAACGTGTCCACACTCCATGAATCTCCTACGTCATTGGTCCCTAAGGTACTCTAAGGTCGTTGGAGTTATCTCCCTTCGTATTGTCAAACTCGCTATGTGCTGCATTTTTGGTCTTTGTGAAAGTTATATTTTTCAAGGACGCACAGAACGGAGAGAGAAAATGATATATACTGACAGGTAGAGGGACGACCAGGTAAAGAGCAACCAACCCATCCTTTATCTACCAAGGACTTTTCCTGTGTATCAATTCGACCCATGACAAGTGTTTGATTGCACATTCGTGACGATAATATGTATAATGCACCAAATTTCGATTGGGATCTTATCTTTCCCCATCCATCTTTACCTGTGTTTCTTTTCGTGATCTTTATATATATATTAACGCCTCCCGTGGCGCCATCTCACTTTTGGCTAGATTACAGAACGTTCGCCATTGCGAGAGTATCCCCACCCCATGTATTTAGGGAAAGCGCAACTTGCGTCTGGTGTTATAATGTGAAGGGATACAATACTGTGCTGTGTATGAAGCTTCGACAGGGCATTACATTAAGGTAGCGCTCTAATGTCGTCAGATTCGCGCTATCGCAAGGGGCTAGGCAAATGTACCAACTTATTGCCTCCAGCACATTCGAATTCAAGACACACATACCTCCACCTCCTCTCTCTCTCTCTCTCTCTCTCTCTATCAATATTTAAAAATTAAGAAAGTAAAGTGGGGGGTTCATGCCATTTTTCAATTTTCAGTCCATATCAAATACTTGTATAAAAGAACTATACGAGATGAAGATGTTTGTCTTACATTCTTACTTCTTTTCAATTCATTATTCAGGTCTTAATGTAAGAGCCAAATTTTACTGTATTTTTTTTTTATCAAATTAAAAGTTCAACTGATTTTGTTACAGTGATCAAAGTACAGACTTTTGTTTATGTTAAAGCATTAAACGAACTATATGAGCACAATCTATTGCACTTTGTTTATTTTTAACCGGTTACAAATTCAAGTAAAGGGAAACTACTCTGTATTGACAATCGTTGCTGAAATATCTTGTCCGGCAATTTTGTGTGACAACCGTTGAACAGTTCAGTTTAAAATGAGTTGTTCTCGGAAGTTGTTACCCATCTTGATTAAGATTTTGACACAAAAAAAACATATACACAACGGGAATCAGTAATAAGTAATGGCAAATATTTGATCATTTTACGATGTTCTATTATTTTTTCTTTTCTTTTTCTTCTCTATATCTTATATCATATTAAATATCAAACTGATCGTATTTATGATAACAATATGAAGGTCTGCATTTATTGACATCATGACAATTATATTGATAGTAAGTGCATTGATAGTAAGTACAATAGTTTCAAGTTTGATAATTTTTATTTAAATTATAAATACAATATATGAAATAAATACTTGAGTTAGTTCACGATACCTATCGTGACTGAGAGAAAATGTACCAATACACTTATATACAGTACATGATTTTATTTTGTATATAAAGCACTGTATCTTAGTGCATTAGTAGTTTTTTCCTCATTCGCAAAATGTACCTATGGTTGATTTAGTCACACGTCTGATAGCGCTGTTAAAATTCGCAGTAACGCCCACAAATACCACAGGGACCTGATTATTTGTTACATCTATATTTGGACCTAAACTAAGGTGTTTAGAGCAATTTTACACGCTTGGTGTTGTTGTTTTTATCGAAAATCGATCTAAACCCCCAAAGGTGTAAAATAACTCAAACAACTTAGTTTAGGTCCAAATATAGCAGTAACAAAGTCTCAGGTCCCTGTGATAAATACATATACAGAGTCATAAGTGTCCCTCAAAACTTACAGTCATAACACGCACGTGTTCTTAATATTACAAATCCATGACTTGTAATCTTATCAATGACTAAACAATATCTAGTGTCCATCAGGACATGTCGATTTATCACAAAACTACCACAGCTAAAGGAGGTATAGAAGTGTGCCCGCTTTCGTTTTTCGCGAATCAAACGGTTATACTGGTTGGTACGATGGCCGACAAGAGCCTGACAAAAAGATTTGAATTTTCATATCTTTTTGTACCACGGTGCACTTTTACATGGTGCACAAAGATTTGAATTTTCATATCTTTTTGTACCATACAAAAGTGTACCATGGTACACAAAGATATGAAAATTCAAATCATTTCGTAACCATGCGTGGTACATAAAGATTATAAACAACTTTACAAAAAAAATCTTTACTTTCACATGTGTATGTACCAACAGCCGATATCAGCCGGCAAAATTATTTGAATTTTCATATCTTTCTGTACCGTGGTACACTTTTGCCCGGTACAAAGAGATATGAAAGCTCTCCTTTTTGTACCGCGTTACACTTTTTTCATTTCTTTTTGTACCACCTACGGTACAAATAGATATGAAAAAAGGGTACCACCAGAGCATCGGAATGTTGTTATCGGACACTATGACCAGAACTGACCCCGAATAGTAAAGCCATAATTACAACGTCAAAACAAATCGTGAGGTTCATTAATCACTTCTGATGAAAAACAGAGTTAGTTGCAATTGTGTAAGTATTGGGGCCTTGACAGGGTCTCCAAAAGGGATAAAGGACATCTGTATATTTTTGTCATTTCCCTTGTTTTGATAGATGTCCCGTTTATAAAAGAATCGTACAACTAGCTCATCGCATTTCCCAAAAATACTTTATAAAAAGGTAGCCTATTTATTCTTCGATGCTATTAAATTGATTGTCCCCTGTTGTCCCCTTGTCCCCTACGACCCCGTCGGTGTTTTCAACTGATTTGGAGTTTCTTTCATTTGAAAAGTTGAAGCAGATAGAATACATTAGAAATGTAAGTATTAGAAAAATAATCCATAATGACTTCCTTTTTAACGTAAAACATTTATAAAATTCGGTAAAGGATATTCATTTGGTGTAATGAAAATAACAGACATTCCGTGCGATATCATGGTGTAATTTGTCATACTTGGTAACCTTTACGTCTGATGGTTTCACATGTTTCTGTACCATGGCTGTTTTCGGCCGTTATTTTGGTACATAAAATTACAAAAGCAACGGGTTGATTTTATTTCTGCTTTCATATCTTTTTGTACCATGGTACGTACACTTTTACATGGTACACAAACATTTGAATTAGTGAACCATGTTACAAAAAGAGATGAAAATTCCTATCTTTTTGGCAGGCTCTTGTTGGCCATCGTAGGTTGGACCAGAGTTGTTCGTTTATTGAATAAGGTCGGACCAAGTAAACAAATGCTGTTTTCAGGCGAGCCTTGTTCAAGCCTAACCAGGCCTGCATAAACTTTTGTAGGTCCGCCATCAAATACTATAAAATCATATGCTTTGTTCCAAAATTTCATAAGAATGACCTAGAGTATTTATACATGTCGTGTAGCTTGCTAGGATAGGGGATTATCAGAAAAGTTCAAATGTTAATGGCATCGACCCACTTCCAAGATTGCAAGGGTCAAATGTGTTAAGATATGCTAATCCTACCAAAGATCTATACTGTTGAGATTCATAAGGCCTAGACGATATAAAGATAATTGCTCGTTTGGAGTAATTAAGTCCTGTCAATTTTGGTCGAATAAATCACCTTGACCCCTGAAATACGTCATGACATAATAATCGAAGCCACGCGGAAAGCTATTTGATTGTTTTCGGGTGCATAAAAAACTGACCAATCGCAAGGCTTATACTGTCTTTTGAAGATTACAGAGGAGTGACAGCTGACTTCAAAGCCGGTCAATTTTACCGTTACACTGCCACTTGATTCTTTTGATGTACAGCAAAGGATCAAATTGGTCTCCTTGTGTCGGCCACAAAGTGGTACGTACAGGACCTTCAATTTCGTCATGACATGTTCCAGACGTGCACAGAACGTGATAAGTGCGCGTATCCGCTGGAAACTGGAGGATAGAAATAATACGAACTGCTAGGAAGACCTTAATTAAAACCAAAACTTGACTTTGATCTAAAGTATATGGTTTTTGTCAATATCTTATGTGAAATATAGCAAGCCATTTTGAAACGAAATGTTTAAATTACTTACAGGGAAATACCAAAACACGAGTTTTCAAAATTACAAATTCATGACTTGTAATCTTATCAATGACTAAACTATAGCTTCATCACATTACCACTACATCTAAAGTCAATATAGAAGTGTACAATGATCAAGTAAAATAAAACCACCAGTTGATGATGACGAACGGCGTATAAGTGGTCCTTTAGACTGACTTTAAGCTCGGACAGCTACAGAAGCTCTGCACTGAGAATGGGACAGCAGGGTCCTTTGAGAATTGGCCGTGATGCTGAAATGTTGAATGACAATGTCACAAATGACAAGGTCCGTTTTAGCTTAATTTTGCTATTTTAACTTGCTATAATGGCAGGGTTTTAAAGCCTCCCGCTAGGGATCGAATCCGGGCCATTATTCTGGANTAGAATGGGACTGCAGGGTCCTTTGAAAATTGGCCGTGATGCTGAAATGTTAAATGACAATGGGGAGGCGACTAGTATAATTTGCCAGTGTAGCGATGGCGCAGCGTCTATCGTCCGTCGGTCTGTCTGTCTCAACGGCCTCTTTTAACAATTACAAGTTTGTTTAAATAGACGATATTGACCTCCTTTCAAGTTCATTGGGTCAGTTATGAAAAATGTAAATGTTTTCCTCTAAAGATTCATAAAACATTCAGGTCATCATATTTGGCCTGTAGAGTACTATAGGATAAATGACTGTTACACACTTTTAAGCTTAACATGTTTTAGAATCTTCATGTGAATTTTGCTCAGATTTAAGACCGATCCAGAAGGCCTAGACGATGTTTAGTTTGGTTATTGCTCCGTGGGATGTAATGCTGTCAAAAGTGTATTCAAATATATTACCTTGAGCAACGTTCATGTTATCATGGGTATATAGGTCAAAGCGTTTAAACGTCTTTCAGATCCTTTGTTTCGTTTCCAGACAAAATTATTCATTTCACATAAATCCTATGACATGGAAAAAACCCGCAAGTTCTTGTGCTCTACTTGCATTTTGGTGACCATTTCAAAACATGGCCGATCTACATCACCTCCCTCCCACTCTCGAAATAATGGGAACGGTCAAGAAGATCGTATAACCAAAACTTGATTTTGATAAAAACAGATTGAGTTTTCTATAATTTCTAATTAATAAGCAGTATAGTAAGCGGTTTTGATATGAAATAATTCATTGCGCTTAAGAAAAAAGTTTTTTTGTTGCGTAAAATGTGTCCTCTCTTCCACATAATTGCGAATAATCATTGCAAAATTGAAAACACAGGGGTAATCCCGATACTCGCTATTTCGCTTACGTCAGAGTGATACTCGCTGTTTGGATTACGTCAATACGGCTTACGGCAGAGTAAAATGCTCCCATGATTGAAGAACATGAGAGGTATTTTTACACTTTCTTGTATAAATACTGAAAACTTACCATTGTAACTCAGTCTATATACTATAAGTGGGTCTTAAACTGCTATATCAATATTTTTGATTTAAATTGAATTAGTTTTGACTGAATAATCATATATATGTACGGACATCAGTTTACATACTGCTTTGTGGAGATTTGAATGTAATAACTATTTAATTAAATTACTTTTACACAACACATGTCTTGGCCAATGACTCATTAACAAAACAACATTGAATAGTCTAAACTTAACATAAGTTTTAGCGATATTTTTACCAAAATATGCAGTTGGTAAGTATCCTGATACGGATGACGTACCTGGGTGATACGGATTACGTACCTGGGTGATACGGATTACGTTTATTTACAAACTGGAATGATACGGATTACGGTCAAACAATCATATTTCAACTAAATGAAATCAATATTTTTTAACAAATTTTGGGATATTTTCTTAGTCACAAAGCATCACATAGGAACAAATAGAATATTTAAAATCGACTTTCTTTATTTTTCTAGATCTGAGACTTCCCAAAAGTTTGATTTTTTTCTTCTGTGTTTTAATACTACACTCATTACAAACTTGACCATCATTTGGAGAAGATGTGTATCATTTATATATAGACCGAATATGTTCGTTATTTTGAAATCTAGACAGGTGCTATCGGAATCAAATAAGTATCAGATAATTATATAAACTTACAGTCTTATTCATATCACATATATTTCATTCACCACACACTGCAACTCGCACATGTATGGTGTGACTATCAAAAAAGACAAAATCACATGACTAAACAAATGATATTTGTTTCCACTGGAAATCTCTATTGTCAAATGAAAACAATTATTCTGTCTCGGAATCACTTAAGTTCAACTAGTAAGTTACAAACTTACATGATAAGCTACTTATTAAGGGGCAGTAACTCTTATTTCAAGGGAGGGAGTTCGAAATGTTTGGTGACGCGACCTCACAACCTTTAACAACTAGAACTGTAAGCCAAAGGCTAACTAATACCCCCGCTCCAATATAAACCAGAACTATAAGCTAAAGGCTAAGTAAGGTAAAGCATTGCAAAGCAATCCATAGTCTCCCACCAGTAATGATTTCTTTATTCACTGATCTGTACACTTATTTAAGTATATAGATAAGTGACATACTTTCTGTACTTCCTCCCAATTGCAAAACATACTTGCAAACCAAATATTGTTAGCCCAGATGAACCAGTTTTGCTGAAATCGTCATAGCAGTTAAGGAAGAGCTGTCAGGACAAATATTTCAAACAAAGGGCCATAACTCCTTAATAAAGGGTCGAAATGAAAGAAATATTACCCTGATCCGACCAGCAGTTTCGGAGACAACACCTTTTTCTCTCAACAAAGGACCATAACTCCTTTTTAAAGGGTCGGAATGAAAAAAATACTACCCTGATGCACGACATCAAATTAACCCCGTAGTTTTAAAGGAGTTGTCCATACAAGGATTTTTCAACAAAGGGCCATTTTGTAAAAAAGGCTATAAGTTAGCCCCGCAGTTTTGAAGGAGTTGCCCGTAGAAATATTTTTCTACAAATGTCCATTTTGTGAAAAAAAAGGCTCGAAATGAAAACAAAACAACGCCTGGATGCACAACTTCATGTGGTACTTATCATATCTGGAGAGTTTCGTTGAAATCGATCCATAACTTAAGAACGAGTTGTCCGGACAAAAAGTTTTAAGATTTGTTCAACAAAGGGCCATAACTTTGTCAAAAAGTGTCGGAATGAAAAAAATACTACCCTTATGCACGACATCAGGGGGTAATTACCATATCTGTAAACTTTCATTGAAATCGGACAAGGATTTTAGGAGACAGACACAGTTTTATTTTAACAGAGGACCATAACTCCTTTTAAAAGGGTCGGAATGAAAAAGTACTATTTGGATTTACAACATCAGGGGGCAGTTACCATATCTGTAAACCTCGAAATTAGCCGAGTTGATCCGGAGAAGTTGTCTGGACATCGATTTTTCAAGAAAGGGCCATAATTCCATAAAAAGGGTTGGAAAAAAATTACCCGGATGCACAACACCAAGGGGTAGTTATCATATCCGAAAATATTCGTTATAATTGGCCCCATAGTTTTGGAGGAGTTGTCTGGACAACTGTTTTTCAACAAAGGGCCATCACTCCGTAAAAAAGGGGTCAGATTGAACAAATAATACCTGGATGCACACCATCAGGTAGACCTCCATGAAGTTGATTCCTAGTTCCTAGTTCCTTATTCCATTACTTATTCGATTCCCTGATTACTTATTCGATTCCCTGATTACTTATTCGATTCCCTGNTAGTTCTCATATCAGAATCCTTTGAAATCGGCCGAGTAGATTAGGAGAAGTTTGTTTTTACATATTGACAAGATATATAACTCACCTGAAGAGACGGAGATATAAATAGTGATAAAAAACTCTCGCTTGATAATCGATTTAATACAAATGTAATCCGTATCAACATAGAACGTAATCCGTATCAACATAGAACGTAATCCGTATCAACTAAAATTGAGCACGTTCGTAATCCGTATCACCAGTTTTAAATAGCAGTTTATGCACAAATGTAATGTCCACGTGATAAATTGATATATTTAATAACTAAAGTATTATTCGTTCTATTATTGTATCTATTTACTTCATTTCAATGACACGGGGAAGCGTTTTATTCATCTGTATATCAAACACACATAGATTTGTGTATTACGTCAAAATATTCATAATTAAAGTATTAAATCTTCTATAACACATGTATCACTCTGAAGTTGGCGAAATAGCGAGTATCGGGATTACCCCCGTGTAAAATGCAGCATGTTTTTGTCATATAAAGCGACAAAACAAAATCATCTTTCAATGTCAAAACTCTCCTCTTTTATTTTGGACTAGACACATATTTTAATTGACAGTATATTTTGTTAAAAATAGGAGTCTTTAATCAGCACTTAAAAAATTGCATATATGGTCGATTTATTCCCATATAATATATACTCATATTTGGATAGGTGCTTAAAATTTTGCCCTAGTAGCCTTATTCCCAACGGTATATTAAAACATAGTGTGACCTCGACAATTAAATTCAACTTCTCCGCCGGAGTTTGTTTTCTTCTGGGCCAGATCAGGGGTTTAGAATGTAGCTAGCTGCGTGGTCTATTTTATAACTCAGCTGCTAGATATTAAAAACACCCCTACAGCTCATTGACAATTGCACTCGTCTATTCAGCAGCAACACGTCACTGTGACCTATGACCTCGGCTACTTTCCACTCCGGAAGAGTTGATACTGCACGGATATCTAGGATTCCAGGCGGGACAGCGCACAGGTAAGGTTGTCGGTGGGTCAGCTCTTGTCATAAACATGCCTTACGTACAAAACGCCGGTGTATGCGGCGAGGGGCATTGTAAATGCTCCAATGATTACGTTACATTTGCTCGTGGTATCGTTGACCACATCCGCAGTACTGTGCTGGTATTACGGTGAAAATTATTTATGGGCGGGGTCATTCCGCATGTTATCTTTTTTTGTGGGGGTGAGTCGGGTAAAAATTATATTATTTTTTTACTTGTTCACAAGACCGCGTACTTAAATTAAATATTTTATATATCATTGTTCAAAAGATAAATATTTAATAAAGTATTATACTTTTTAGTCCATTGTAACATAGAAACAAAGTAACACAATTTGTGGAGGTGAAACAAAGCATCTTCGTGCACCTCCCCCCGTCTCTAATTCTGCATCATTCCACCCCACTTCTCAGCTTTCGCCCAGTCCCACTGTTTAGACCTGATATACCTATCCTAATGCATCTTACCTATTGTGTCGTACCAACAGATGTATTTGTTTGACATTTATTAAAAAAGATTACTTGTGGTATGCTGCCAATATAGATATTTGAGGAAGATTATGATTAATAAGGAAACAGTTTATTACAGACTCTTACAAGAGTGAAACCACAGACTTGGATAACTAATCTAATTCTGTGGTGAAACTTAAATTTAAAAAAAATCATTTTGTATTTTCTTTTAATATTCTAAGACAGAATGAATAAGCTTTATAGACTTGCTTCCATTTGAAACCAGTCAAACCAGTGCGACTAGTCGGACCAGATGATTATATCACATGTATTTGTCAAATGCTGTATTGTTATAAATCCACCATTGTTCTGTATCTCTGTTAATATTCACAGTGAGTCATTCATTGCGAGGCAGTTTCTGTACATTCCTGATAAGTGGGTAATAGGACACATCACAGGGTTTAGGGGGCTTAGTTTATATGAATTCAAAACAACATGGTGTGAATTTCCTAAAACCTTTTGTAAGTTGTGTCTATGCATGAAAAAGCACCGATAGTCTAGGTATTCAGAGCTAAACCATATTTACAAAAGTGATGGGTTAATAAAATTTGTATAATTTCTGTAAACATTTTTAAGTGTCTATTAAATGCATGAAAAAGCTGGCAGATAGTCTAGGTATTCAGAGCAAAATGGTATTCACAAATTGTGGGATTAAAAAAGTGAAAATATTTAAGCAAGCAAAATAAAATCTTACTGATAATCCTTTGCAAATGGGGATGGGGCTTGGTGGAGGGGATAGTCAGCAGATCAAAGTGGTAGATTGGAACCCCCAGGGGGAAGGGTTCAGGCAATGGGTAGAGTGGAACCCCCAGGGGGAAGGGTTCAGGCAATGGGTAGATTGGAACCCCCAGGGGGAAGGGTTCAGGCACTGGGTAGATTAGAACCCCCAGGGCGAAGGGTTCAGGCAATGGGTAGATTGGAGCCCCCAGGGGAAAGGGTTCAAGCAATGGGTAGATTGGAACCCCCAGGGGGAAGGGTTCAGGCAATGGGTAGATTGGAACCCTCAAGGGGAAGGGTTCAGGCAATGGGTAGATTGGAACCCCCAGGGGGAAAGGTTCAGGAAGAGGGTAGATTTGAGCCCCAGGGATTGGTTCAGGCAGAGGGTAGATTGGAACCCCAGGGGGAAGGGTTCAGGCAGTGAGTTCATTGTGTTACAAGCTATAGGTAGATTGGAACCCCTAGGGGGAAGGTTTAGTGGTAATTTAGTGGTGTACTGCCCACTGACCTGGTTGATGGTTGGTAAGGTAGTTGGCACTATAAAGAGGTTTGCTGATTAATCAAGGGTGACCCGAAGATGTTAAAAGGAGGACCTTGAAATATAATGGTATTAAGTGAGGTCCAAAAGTGGAACAAGGTGAATTAATCAAGGATTAACCGTGGTAGGAAAGAGCAAAATACAACAGCTAGACCAGGCATAATCATAAAGGTATACCTAAACCTGTATCTCCACTGAGGGATACCTTAAGTGGTTAAAAAAGACAGAAGTTTCTACCACAGGTACCTGGACTCGAGTGATCAATATCATTCAAGGCAAGATATTTTAGTTGCTAGATAGATTATTGTTAAAGGTTTTGAGCTTAAGTGTGTTGCGGCCATTGTATATTTACAATCCTGGATGTTTGTTAAAAATCAGAGATCCTTGTTTACTGTAGATTGGTAGGAAACCTGGGTGTGGAGAGAGACTGTTTGTGAGGGAAAGATGGGCATTGCAGGTTATCTTTTTGTTGAGGAGGAATACTTAATATTAGAAATTGAGGAGCCTGGTTGTGGGAAGGGGCTGTGGGAGCTTCAATGGGAGAGGGAATGGCCTATAACCTGAAGTGAGAAACTAACATCTAAGATTGATAGGGGAGGGATCGGTGAGTGAAGAGAGACCAGTCTGTGAGGCTAGCTGGGAGGGGGACTGGTCTGTAAGGTTAGGTGGGAGGGGTACTGGTTTGTGAGGTTAGGTGGGAGGGGTACTGGTCTGTAAGGTTAGGTGGGAGGGGTACTGGTCTGTGAGGTTAGGTGGGAGAGGGACTGGCCTGTGGGGTTAGGTGGGAGGGGGACTGGTCTGTAAGGTTAGGTGGGAGGGGTACTGGTCTGTGAGGTTAGGTGGGAGAGGGACTGGTCTGTAAGGTTATGTGGGAGGGGTACTGGTCTGTGAGGTTAGGTGGGAGAGGGAAAGGCCTGTGGGGTTAGGTGGGAGGGGGACTGGCCTGCGAGGTTAGGTGGGAGGGGGACTGTTCTGTGAGGTAAGGTGGGAGAGGGACTGGCCTGTGGGGTTAGGTGGGAGAGGGACTGGCCTGTGAATTAAGGTCGGAGAGGGACTGGCCTGTCAGGTTAGGTGGGAAAAGGAACTGGCCTGTTAGGTTAGGTGGTAGAGGTACTGGCCTGCGAGGTTAGGTGGGAGGGGGACTGGCCTGCAAGGTTAGGTGGGAGGGGGAATGGTCTGTGAGGTTAGGTGGGAGAGGGACTGGCCTGTGAGGTAAGGTGGGAGGGGGACTGGTCTGTGAGGTTAGGTTGGAGGGGGACTGGTCTGTGAGGTAAGGTGGGATAGGGACTGGTCTGTGAGGCTAGGTAGGAGAGAGACTGGTCTGTGAGGTTAGGTGGGAGAGGGAAAGGCCTGTGGGGTTAGGTGGGAGGGGGACTGGCCTGCGAGGTTAGGTGGGAGGGGGACTGGTCTGTGAGGTAAGGTGGGAGAGGGACTGGCCTGTGGGGTTAGGTGGGAGAGGGACTGGCCTGTGAATTAAGGTGGGAGAGGGACTGGCCTGTCAGGTTAGGTGGGAAAAGGAACTGGCCTGTTAGGTGGTAGAGGTACTGGCCTGCGAGGTTAGGTGGGAGAGGGACTGGTCTGTAAGGTTATGTGGGAGGGGTACTGGTCTGTGAGGTTAGGTGGGAGAGGGAAAGGCCTGTTGGGTTAGGTGGGAGGGGGACTGGTCTGTGAGGTTAGGTGGGATAGGGACTGGTCTGTGAGGCTAGGTGGGAGAGGGACTGGTCTGTGAGGTTAGATGGGAGGGGAACTGGTCTTTGAGGTTAGGTGGGAGAGGGACTGGTCTGTGAGGTTAGGTGGGAGGGGGACTGGTCTGTGAGGTTAGGTGGGAGAGGGACTGGTCTGTGAGGCTAGGTGAGAGAGGGACTGGCCTGTGAGATTAGGTGGGAGAGGGACTGGTCTGTGAGGTTATAGGTGGGAGGGGGACTGGTCAGTGAGGTTAGGTGGGGGAGGGACAGGTCTGTGAGGCTAGGTGGGAGAGAGACTGGCCTGTCAGGTTAGGTTGGGAAAAGGAACTGGCCTGTTAGGTTAGGTGGTAGAGGTACTGGCCTGCGAGGTTAGGTGGGAGGGGGACTGGCCTGCAAGGTTAGGTGGGAGGGGGAATGGTCTGTGAGGTTAGGTGGGAGAGGGACTGGCCTGTGAGGTAAGGTGGGAGGGGGACTGGTCTGTGAGGTTAGGTTGGAGGGGGACTGGTCTGTGAGGCTAGGTGGGAGGGGGACTGGTCTGTGAGGCTAGGTGGTAGGGGGACTGCCCTGTGAGGCTAGCTGGGAGGGGGACTGGTCTGTGAGGTTAGCTGGGAGGGGTACTGGTCTGTGAGGTTAGGTGGGAGAGGGACTGGTCGGTCTGAGGTAAGATGGGAGAGTGACTGGCCTGTGAGGTTAGGTGGGAGAGGGACTGGCCTGCGAGGTTAGGTGGGTGAGGTACTGGCCTGTGGGGTTAACTGGGAGAGGGACTGGCCTGCGAGGTTAGGTGGGAGAGAGACTGGTCTGTGAGGTTAGATGGATGAGGTACTGGCCTGTGGGGTTAGCTGGTAGGGGGACTGGCCTGTGGGGTTAGCTGGGAGAGAGACTGGCCTGTGGGGTTAGCTGGGAGAGAGACTGGCCTGTGGGGTTAGGTGGGAGAGAGACTGGCCTATGGGGTTTGGTGGGAGAGGGACTTGCATGTCATGATGTGAGGTTGGATAGGAGAGGGACAGGCTTGCTACATTGAATGGGAGTGGGACTATCGTTTCAGGTTAGGTGGGAGACTGACTGGCTTGTGAACTTGAGTGAAAGATGGACATGTGAGTGTGGATGGAAGAAGTACTGGACAATATTGGGTGGGAGAGGGACTGACATCTAGTGCCCTATGAAGAACAATTTAACAGTTAATTCCAGTCTTTGTAGTCGCCAATCAACACATGTACAGCTGTTGCTATACATAGTGTGATATTGTTTATCCAATCTGTGAAACATCCGCTCATAATTTCTTCCATTCTATCAATATTTTTGCCTTGTTATATGAAGGAAATGACTCCAGCATTAACACAGATGAATGTATAACAAATAATTGATCAGGGGCAGCTGGCTCCATGTATGTAACGTATGCATGTATGTATATTGCTTTGAGCTAATATTTAACATTGTTGATGACAATGCACTGTTGCCATTTTTACCTACATTTATATATATCATTATGTCAGACTAAACGACAGATATTGATAAAACTTGGTTGATGATAAAGCTAAAACATAAACTGATGAAGAAGTTTTCATATTGTTGGATTCTTAAAATAATGTAGAATGATGTATATTTAGATGTATGACACACTCCTTGCACCCAATATTATACATTGAGTGATGTCGTACTGTACATAATCTTTTTGTAATTTTCTTTTTATTCAAGATGTTTTGCAATATGTGGTATAATTACAATCAAACATTTCATATTATATTTAGCTCACCTGGGCCCAATAGGGGAAATAGAGGATTTTTTTTCTCCTGCTATACAAGTGAAGGGATTTTAACCAAATGCAGTCTGAAGCATGATTAGGGACAAAAGAATCAATTTTGTATAAACTGAGGTGTGTGGGCCTCCTTCTAAGGGCAGATGGGTGGGGCCCATTAGGGGAAATAGAGGAAAACATCAAATATCCTTCTCCTTTTGTACCGATGAAGGGATTTTGACCAAATTTGGTCTGGAGCATCATTGGCCAAAGGGTTCTCAGTTTTGTATGAACGGAGGGTATGGTCCCCCTGGGGGCAGAGGGACGGGGCCAAATAGGGGAAAATAGGTAAATCTTTAAAAATCTTCTCCTCAACCAATTGAAGGATTTTGACCAAATTTGTCCTAGAGCATCTTTGGACAAAGGAGACTCAAGTTTGTATAAACGGAGGGTGTGGGCCTTCTGGCGGCATAGGAGCGGGGCCCAATAGGGGAAATAGAGGATTTTTTTTCTCCTACTATACAAGTGAAGGGATTTAAACCAAATGCAGTCTGAAGCATGCTTAGGGAGAAAAGAATCAATTTTGTTTAAACTGAGGTGTGTGGATTCCCCTTCTTTGGGGCAGATTAGTGGGGCCCATTAGGGGAAATAGAGGAAAACATTAAAGATCCTTCTCCTTCTGTACCGTTGAAGGGATTTTAACCTAACCAAACTTGTTTTAGAGAATCTTTGGGCAAAGGGAATTGAATATTTATAAATGGAAGATGCAACTTTGTTACTTGTACTCCTTTGATAAACCTGAATGGTACTCAGCAGGTTTTAAATTGAAAAATAAAATACCAGGTGAGCTATTAAGGCCCCTTGGCCTCTTGTTATATATACTCTTACTTACATCAGTTGATATACTTGACGCCAGTAAATGTAATGGTACACATGTACACATGTATTGCCTTTATGAGAACAGAGAGAGAGAGAAAAGAAAAGAATTAAAAAAAATAGCAAAGAAAAAATGAGAATGTCCACAGAAAAAGGAAGAAAAGGAGAATCTTGTTTTTGCACTGCTGCTCAAGAATAAACAGAACTTTGTGTTTTGGATAAGATTATAAGACAAACTTCTGTATTAGTTGTAAGTAAGGTGCTTTCGGCTTTGAACTGCAAGTGAATACAGCCATATACATTTACACTTGGGCATACTGTACATATTGCCATTTTAAGTTGTTAAGTAGATGTAGTCACTTTGTACTGTATGTAGCTGTACCTAGTACTTTAGGTAGGTCGGTAATGGTTGAGTAGAGGGTGGGAAAACACATAACATGATGAACCCTGGCAAAGACCCAGAGGAAAGGAACGATCTTTATCTTTGTACATTGCATAGGTGTAATGATCTGTATCTAACAACTTTAATTGGAATTGAAGAACATCTATAAATGTACTGCACCTGTAGACGTGGGGAAATTAAATAATATGCCTGCTCAGTGTGACAATGTATGTTATTGTAATTATATAAGAGGCAATATATTTTGTAGAATTGTAGGTTTTCCTCGGTTTTTGCTAAGGGGATATTGAGGACACCAGTATATAGATCTAGATCTGCTGCACCGTTGCTACATTTTGGATCTATCGGGGATCAATCTAGGTTTTAGGGGAATCTACCCTTTTTCAGAATTGGGGGAAATTCAAATTTTGTTACAAGGCTCTAGCGTCATGTAGGTAAAAGATAAATGGTTTGTCCGACATACATGTATGCAGTATGTTTGAATTTATAAACAACTTAAAGCTTAAAATTGTAGAATTTTGTTAAAATCATTTGAAGAAAATGTATTCAAAAGCAGTATTATGTATTGTATAACTGTTGAACTTTAAAGAAAACATATAGGGGAAATAGTTTGAAGAAAACCACTATTTTCTTGTTGAAATGGTGGAATTTGAGGCACATAGGGGGAATTTCAAAGAACAGGAGTTTTCTTCTGTAGAGGAAGCTACCCATAAACGGTAGTGAAACAAGTCTAGCTTGATCTCAGCCTATCTCTTTCCTTTTCTGAGTACTATTTTCTATGGTTTCTTCTCCGGCACCCTTCCTCATATGACCTTGAATATGTGTGTTGCAAGGATGTTAGTCCGTAAACAAACAAAAAACAATCTTAAGGAACTTGAAAAACGAAATGCATACAGTAAATAATGTGTAAAACTCAATGGAAAATCGAATCTCTTTCCCTGAAGAAAGGAACAGGATTCTAGATTGTCTTAATTTGTAAATATATATATATATAAAAATAGATATAAATTGGAGAGGAAAGGCTACATCCCAGTTGCTCCAAGAAACCCTGCAAGCACAGAGTCTGAAGTTAGTGCATTGGGTGTGTCCTTGTCAAGGCAGCTGTTGTTGTTTCATTGACAAGACCACTACAGGTATATCCTAGTCAATGTCACTATAGAGGTATTTTAAAGTCAAGGTCGTTGCTGAAGGTGTGTTTAGGTCAAGGTCATTACTGAAGGTGTATCCTGGTTAAGGTCACTGCAGGCATGATTTTGTCGAGGACTGTGGTCAAGGTCACTGCAGGTTATCACTGGTTGTCAGGGTCTCTGAATGAGTGCTCAAGTGCAATCGGCCCATAATTGCTAGATCTCAAAGATTTGTTTACAAGTGCTGTGATGAATAACAATGTAGAATTTTGAGTCGAGCATACAAATACAGGTAATTTTAAGGATTTTGTTTTTGATTTATACAGAGATTGGACACAGTTTATATGCAAATGTCATTTGCTATACATTATTCCTGTTACACAACTGGCCATGGGTTAACAGTCAATAATAGATTGGTCCGCCCATTACCGGTAAACACGAGCTATTTATAATTCATTGTTCACAATGTCCTCTCTTTTTCATATCTGTATTTTTTCTCTTATTTCAGATCAAGTTTAGTTACTTCCTTGTCAGCAGCCAACAGACAAAATGTCGGGTAAGTTAACAGACTTTTTTGGGTAGGTCTGGATGACTACTGTGGACAGAAATTCTATATATAGCACATGTGGTGATATATGATTCATACAAGGGGATTGTATATTTTCAGAACAATAAATAACGTTAAAAAGATTTCATACAGAGCAAAACAGTCCTTAATTTATTGTTGGTAAACATCGTAGATTTTACCGTCTGTGACAGACAGACTGTTAGGGGCTCCTTCCTTATATGTCTACTAGGTGTACAGATAATACAAATACAGTTATCCCAAAAGTGCACATATCTCTATTATACAAGGGCTTGTTAAACTCGCTGTGAAACAATCCATATAAAACACCTTGAAAATCTCAGACTATATTCTGAAAAGTTACTGTAATATATTATAATCAATGATACACCATGAAAATTGACCTACGTAACCACACAAAGCCCTTAAACCCTGAACACCCACCCACACACTTCCATCCTAAAATAGCTGTTATAACATCTCTCTACCAAGGACTTAACAAGAATACTTGAGGTAGCATCCTCCTACATCCCTTATACTTCCTTGTAAATAGTATTGTAACTGCTATGACATATCTATTTGATGTACTTCCCTGTAACGCTGCTAAAGTAGTTATTAAGGTAGTAGGATTGTGTAGCCATTTCTAAGTAGAATTTCTTCAAATTTAGTAGTTATATTGCTTTGAAATAAAGAAAATTTTCTGCCACAAAGAAATATAGGTTGTCATAATTTTAAGGAATTTAAATGGAAATTTATGTAAAAAGGAGTGACTTTTGAAAAAAAATGAAAGACACAATGTTTTGCAAAATAATGTCAATAAAAATGATACTGCCATAGATAAGTATTGCATTAATGTATATCAATTTAATAAATGCTGGAATTATGTCAAATAAATTATCTATAAACAATTAAAAATTGACTTTTTATAATAAAACCATATGCACATTGTAATTGCGGGTAAGAGTTATCTTTCTTGAAAAATTATACAGTAATGAAATAGGTAGCCAGTTTCCTGAAGTACAGAAAAATGGACACATGTGGCTCATTGATAAAAAAACCTGAATCAATGCCTGCATTGCTTTGAAATACTTTAATATTGAGAGAACACACTGTTCTGTCAATAATAAACATACAATATCCATCAGTCTAATATTAAACATTAGAATATGCAGAAATTGTGATACTGTCTCCCTACATTGGATTTTCAACTAGGGATGTACTTCCTACTTCCCTTTATCAATACACTCCTATGACCTTAACAGGAAGAGTCACTCGCAACATGCTCAAGCGTCACCAGTATCTTTATTGGCTGTCTAGTTTCCTTGTACGATACTAAAGTAGTTGTTACAACACATATTGATTTATTTTCTTGTCACTTAGGAATTTTTACCATGTGTTGACTCTTCGGAAGTACCATTTTAAATATCTTCTCGGGTTACCATGAATTGATGTTTGGAAGTACATTTTAAATATCTTCTAGTTATAAGAAGGTTGAAATCTTGATAGTTTGTATTCATAGCTAGGGCTGTGAGTTCGTAAAAATATATGAAAGTGACCTTAACCCTTTCATCCCTATGTAACTTTAGTAGACTCTACCATACATTGATCTGGATGAGTCCATTATGGTCTACAGTGTTGAAAGGGTTAACACTGGTCCAACATGACATGAATCATCAGTTGGATATCCTATGAAGCCAACAACATAGAAAAGTTTATTGTACTATTTTCAGGGTGGTCCGATTCTTTTTCGAGGCAACAAATCAATACATTTAGATGTCAGAAATCATGACAATTATATAATGCACTCGAATAAAACATCAGGTAGATGCATTATATGGTACAATATATATATTGTACTAGAGTGCAAGACACTCCCATAGGCCAGGGCATATCACAAACTGATAAATAAGAAGTAAATAAGCCCACCTATATATATATTTTATTTGGCCATATAAATGCTAACAAATGCTATACATTTCATTGTCCTGTAAGAAGCCCGTGACCCACCACATACACACCCTTTAACTCATTCACCCTTGAAATTCTTTAATGAACTATTCCAAGCTTTGAATTGGAAGAGTTCAAATGTGTCTTTGGGGGTGAATGAGTTAATAGAGTCATGAGGGATGTCGTGATTGCAACCTTCGTTTATTTTTGGATAAGTAAGGATATATGTGCATTGTCAGTACATGGTGTCAAAAGTCACCTTCTTAGATTTGGGCTTGTGCTAATTTCACTTTAGCACAGTGCTAGAGCATCCGAATAAAAACAAAAGTTTGGGTCACTGTTTTAATCTACAGTTGGGCGAAATCTTAATAAGGTACTGTTTTGACAGATGGAGGAAGTAGAAAGGTCGGCTCAGACATTACTTAACACTTTCAACCCTAGGAAACTTTAGTAGACTCTACCATTCATTTATCTGGATTAGTCCATTATGGTCTATAGTGAACCCTTTCACCACTGTAGACCATAATGGACTCGCCCAGATCAATGCATGGTAGAGTACTAAAGTTACACAGGCTTGAAAGGGTTAACTTAACGCTGACTGATGTTGAGGTATCCTGTTTTCCTTGAACAATTAAGGTTGTTTTGTTACTTAAAGTGACACTTGAAGAGGACCTATGGTTAGGGTTTCACAACAGTTTAGGTCTTGATAACTTGTTGACAATATATCTATCGACTGTTGAGCCTCTTAGACAGTCATATGTAAGGGTCATTTTGAAGTGTAATTATTACACTTTATGACGATGTAAGCTGATAGTTGGGCAATTCAATGGCCGTTTGCCATCATTATGAATCACACAGTAGCACGACACCCCACCAATATATGGACTATTTTAGTCGTTTTGATCTGGGGTCTCCTCAAAGTCATCTCATCTGATTCTATAGGGGTCCCAGCTTATAGTATCATGTTATCATTGTATATGGGTCCCAGCTTATAGAATCAAGTTATAATTGTATAGGGGTCCCAGCTAGCTTATAGTATCATGTTATCATTCTATAGGGGTCCCAACTTATACTATCATGTTATAATTGTATAGGGGTCCCAGCTTATAGTATCATGTTATCATTCTATAGGGGCCTCAAAATTAGTTGCCACTTATGATTCTACAGGGTCAGCCGTTATAATTTAGTTCTGGCATTAGTTGCCTCTTATGATTCTACTGGGGACTCAAAATTAGTTGCCATATAATTCTACTGGGGTCCTAACATTAGTTCTTCTTACGATTCTTCAAGAGTCCAAACATTGGTTACATTTAATGATGATACTGGGGTTCCTCTTAGGATTCTACAGGGGTCCCAACATTGTTGTTTCTTATAATTCTACATTTATGGGTCCCAACCTAAGTGACTTCTTATTGTTCAGTGGTCTCAACATTAGTGACTTCTTATGATTCTACAGGGGTCTCAACATTAGTGACTTATGATACTACAGGGATCTCAACATTAGTTACATCTTATGATACTACAGGGGTCTAAACATTAGTGACATCTTATGATACTACAGGGGGCTCAACATTAGTGACATCGTATGATACTACAGGGGTCTCAACATTAGTGACGTCTTATGATACTACGGGGGTCTCAACATTGTTGCTTCTTATAATTCTACATTTATGGGTCCCTACCTAACTGACTTCTTATTGTTCAGTGGTCTCAACATTAGTGACTTCTTATGATACTATAGGGGTCAACATTAGTGATGTCTTATGATACTACAGGGGTCTCAACATTAGGGACTTCTTATGATACTACAGGGATCTCAACATTAGAGACATCTTATGATACTACAGGGGTCTCAACATTAGGGACTTCTTATGATACTACAGGGATCTCAACATTAGAGACATCTTATGATACTACAGGGGTCTCAACATAAGTGACCTCTTATGATACTACAGGGGTCTCAACATTAGGGACTTCTTATGATACTACAGGGATCTCAACATTAGAGACATCTTATGATACTACAGGGGTCTCAACATAAGTGACTTCTTATGATACTACAAGGGGTCTAAACATTAGTGACTTCTTATAATACTACAACATTAGTGACATCTTATGATACTACAGGTGTCTCAACATTAGTGACATCTTATGATACTACAGGTGTCTCAAAATTAGTGACTAAATTCCTATGATTCTACAGGGGTCTCACCATTAGTGACATCTTATGATACTACAGGGGTTCTCAACATTAGTGACATCTTATGATACTACAGTGGTCTCAACATTAGTGACTTCTTATGATTCTACAGGGGTCTCAACATTAGTGACTTATGATACTACAGGGGTCTCAACATTAGTAACTTCTTATGATACTACAGGGGTCTCAACATAAGTGACTTCTTATGATACTACAAGGGGTCTAAACATTAGTGACTTCTTATAATACTACAACATTAGTGACATCTTATGATACTACAGGTGTCTCAAAATTAGTGACTAAATTCCTATGATTCTACAGGGGTCTCAACATTAGTGACTTATGATACTACAGGGATCTCAACATTAGTTACATCTTATGATACTACAGGGGTCTAAACATTAGTGACATCTTATGATACTACAGGGATCTCAACATTAGTGACTGCTTATGATACTACAGGGGTTCTCAACATTAGTGACATCGTATGATACTACAGGGATCTCAACATTAGTGACATCTTATGATACTACAGGGGGCTCAACATTAGTGACATCGTATGATACTACAGGGGTCTCAACATTAGTGACGTCTTATGATACTACGGGGGTCTCAACATTGTTGCTTCTTATAATTCTACATTTATGGGTCCCTACCTAACTGACTTCTTATTGTTCAGTGGTCTCAACATTAGTGACTTCTTATGATTCTACAGGGGTCTCAACATTAGTGACTTATGATACTACAGGGGTCTCAACATTAGTAACTTCTTATGATACTACAGGGGCAGCATTAGTGACTTCTTATGATACTACAGGGGTCTGAACATTAGTGACATCTTATG